GAAGTCAAATCCCTGAATAGACCAATAACAAGTTCTGAAATTGAGGCAGTAATTAATAGCCTATCAACCAAAAAAAGCCCAGGACCAGACAGATTCACAGCCGAATTCTACAAGAGGTACAAAGAGGAGCTGGTACCATTCCTTCTGAAATCATTCCAAACAATAGAAAAAGAGGGACTCTTTCATAACTCATTTTATGAGGCCAGCATCATCCTAATACCAAAACCTGGCAGAGACACAACAGCAACAAAAAAGAAAACTTCAGGTCAATATCTCTGATGAACATCGGTACAAAAATCCTCAATAAAACACTGGCAAACCAAATCCAGCAGTACATCAAAAAGCTTATCCACCATGATCAAGTTGTCTTCATCCCTGGGATGCAAGGCTGGTTCAACATATGCAAGACAAATGTAATCCAACACATAAACAGAACCAATGACCAAAACTTCATGATTATCTCAATAGATGCAGAAAGGGCCTTTGATAAAATTTAACACCCCTTCATGGTAAAAACTGTCAGTAAACTAGGTATTGATGGATTGCATCTCAAAATAATAAGAGCTATTTATGACAGACCCACAGCCAATATCATACTGAAATGGGCAAAAGCTGGAAGCATTCCCTTTGAAAACCAGCACAATACAAGGATGCTCTCTCTCACCACTCCTGTTCAACATAGTATTGGAAGTTCTGGCCAGGACAATCAGGCAAGAGAAAGAAATAAAGCGTATTCAGATAGGAAGAGAGGAAGTCAAATTGTCTCTGTTTGTAGATGACATGATTGTATATTTAGAAAACCCTGTCATCTCAGCCCCCAATCTCCTTAAGCTGATAGGAAACTTCAGCAAAGTCTCAGGATACAAAATCAATGTGGAAATATCACAAGCATTCCTATACACTAGTACTATACAGAGAGCCAAATCATGAGTGAACGTCTATATACAATTGCTACAAAGAGAATAAAATAACTAGGAATACAGCTTACAAGGGATGTGAAGGAACTCTTCAAGGAGAACTACAAACCACTGCTCAAGGAAATAAGAGAGGACACAAACAAATGGAAAAACATTCCATGCTTATGGATAGAATCAATACTGTCAAAATGGCCATACTGCCCAAAGTAATTTATAGGTTTAATGATATCCTCATCAAGCTACCATTGACTTTCTTCACAGAATTAGAAAAAACTACTCTAAGTTTAATATGGAACCAAAGAAGAACCCATATAGCCAAACAGTCCTAAGCAAAAAGAATTAAGCTGGAGGGATCACGCTACCTGACCTTCAAACTATACTACAAGGCTATAATAACCAAAACAGCATGTTACTGGTACCAAAACAGATATATAGACCAATACAACAGAACAGAGGCCTCAGAAATAATGCCACACATCTACAACCTTCTGATCTTTGACAAACCTGACAAAAACAGGCAATGGGGAAAGGATTCCCTGTTTAACAAATGGTGTTGGGAAAACTGGCTAGCCATATGCAGAAAACTGAAACTGGACCCCTTTCTTATGCCATATACAAAAATTAACTCAGGATGGATTTTTTCTTTTTTTTTAATGGAGTCTTGCAGTGTCACCCGGGCTGGAGTGCAATGGGGCAATCTCGGCTCACTGCAACCTCCGCTTCCCTGGTTCATGTGATTCTCCACACCCGGCTAATTTTTTGCATTTTTAGTAGAGATGGGGGTTTCACTATGTTGGCAGACTGGTCTTGAACTCCTGACTTCGTGATTCACCCACCTCAGCCTCCCAAAGTGCTGGGATTACAAGCATGAGCCACCGGGCCCAACCACAGTTCAAGATGGATTAAAGACTTAAATATAAGATTTAAAACCATGAAAACCTGAGTAATACCATTCAGGACATAGGCATGGGCAGAAACTTCATGACTAAAACACCAAAAGCAATGGCAACAAAAGCCAAAATTGAACTAAACTAAATAGCTTCTGCACAGCAAAAGGAACCATCATCAGAGTGAACAGGTAACCTACAGAAAGAGAGAATATTTTTGCAATCTGTCCATCTGACAAAGGGCTAATATGCAGAATCTACAAGGAACTTAAACAAATTTACAAGAAAAAAACAACCCAATCAAAAAGTGGGCAAAGGGTATGAACAGAAGACATTTATGCGGCCAACAAATGTGAAAGAAAGCTCATCATCACTGGTCATTAGAGAAATAAAACTCAAAACTATAGTGAGATATCTATTATCTCATGCCAGTTAGAATGGTGATCATTGAAAAATCAGGAAACAGTAGATGCTGGAGAGGATGTGGAGAAATAGGAACACTTTTACACTGTTGGTGGGAGTGTAAATTAGTTCAACCATTATGGAAGACAGTGTAGCAATTCCTCAGGGATCTAGAACCAGAAATACCATTTGACCTAGCAATCCCATTACTGGGTATATACCCAAAGGATTATAAATCATTCTGCTGTAAAGACGCATGCACACATATGTTTATTGCAGCACTATTCACAATAGCAAAGACTTGGAACCAACCCAAATACCCATCAATGATAGACTGGATAAAGAAAATGTGGCACATACACACCATGGAATACTATGCATCCATAAAAAATGATGAGTTCCTGTCCTTTGTAGAGACATGGATGAGGCTGGAAACCATCATTTTCAGCAAACTAACTCAAGAACAGAAAACCAAACACTGCATGTTCTCACTTATAAGTGGGAATCGAATATGAGAACACATGGACACAGGGAGGGGAACATCACACACCAGGGCCTGTCAGGGGGTGAGGGGACTAGATGAAGGATAGGATTAGGAGAAATACCTAATGTAGATGACAGGTTGATGGATGCAGCAAACCACCATGGCATATGTATACGTATGTAACAAACCTGCATGTTCTGCATATGTATCCCAGAACTTAAAGTATAATTTAAAAAAAAGAAAAAAGATATTGAGGAACAACCAAAAGGCTCTGCCAAACCTTCTTATAATCACCTGAATGATGTGGAAAGAACTGAAAAGATAAAATATTTTTCTCTATCTTTTAAGAGCAAACAATACTGCTTTTGCTAAAAGCAAATGAGTTTAAATTATTTATTGTTTGCTCTTAAAAGATACAAAAGTATTACATTGGCCGGGCATGGTGGCGCATGCCTGTAATCCCACCAATTTGGGAGGCTAAGGAAGGCAAATCACTTGAGGTCAGCAGTTCAAGACCAGCCTGGCCAACATGGTGAAACCCTGACTCTACTAAAAATACAAAAATTAGCTGGGCGTGGTGGCATGCACCTGTAATCCCAGCTACTCGGGAGGCTGAGGCACAAGAATCACAAGAATCACTTGAACTTGGGAGGTGGAGGTTGCAGTGAGCTGAGATCGCACCACTGCACTCCAGCCTGGGAACAGAGTGAGACTCCCTCTTAAAAAAAAAAATAAATAAAAATATTATATCATTTGTAGCTTAGTTGAGCTCTCTTTTGATCTTCTTTGAAGAGTATTTGGTATCAGGCACATTCAATTAATAATTTTTAGTGGATCATTTCATTGCATACACTAAGAAACAGCTCTGTTCTAGATAGGATTCTGCCCTTAGAGAACCCATGTAGACAAGATGGATATAGACAAAGACTTATGATGGTGGATAACAGTGCTGTATACTTTATTCATGCTTTCCTGTCTATTATTGCATCTAAACATCTTATAAAGCAGGCCAACTGAACCATCCTCCAAGTTATATTTTCCCATTATGTTAGGTCATTAATTCACTTAGCAACGTTAACTATTTGTTTATTCTAATAAGCCAGATGCTGAGGGTAGAGAGAAATGTGAAATGATATTTGTTCTTAAGGTGCTCACTGTTTATTACAGATCCAGAAATCATCAATTTGATATATGATACAGTGAAGAAAAGCACAGGTACTATGGAAAAACAGATAAAAATCCGTGATCCATTAGAGTGGTGGTAGTGAGGGATGCTTCACAAAGGAGAAGATCCTTTAGCTAGCATGAAATGGTAACTGAGCATGTCAGTTTTGTAGTCCAGGTGCGGAGCAGAATTCTAGCTTGAGCAGACATCTAAAGAGCTGGGAGTCCTGAGAGAGAACAGCCTCCTAGAGCTGCAATAGTGTAGTATAGTGATTGAGTGAATGGAGCTTTGAAGGCAGACTCATTTTGGTTCACGTCTGAACTTAATACAGTCATGCACTGAATAATAACACTGTAGTCAGTGACAAACTGCATATACAGTGGTGGTCCCATGATTATATTTTTACTGTACCTTTTTTATGTTTAGGTACACAAATGTTTACCACAATGTTACAGTTGTCTAGAATATTTAGTACAGTAACATGCTGTACAGATTTGTAGCCTAGGAGCAATGGACTATACCATATAGCCTAGGTATATAGTAGGCCATATACCATTTAGATTTGTGTAAATATACTCTAGGATGTTTCTGTGACAAAATCACATGACATGGTACTTATCAAAATATATAACACATGACTTGTATTTGTTTGATCTTAGTCTAGTTTATTGCTTAGTGTTCATCTGCAGAAAGCAAAATAGACTTTTGACTAATTTAAGCAGAAAGATATTTATTGCAGAATGCTACACGGCTCACAGAGTTGTTGGGACAGCTAAAGAAACAGACTAGGTGGAATATCCAGGAATAATTTCCAGAGCTACATAATGAGTGGGCCACCAAGGAGGCTGATTTTCCTGCCATGATCAGGAAACTGCCTATAGAGTCAGGATGCAACTGATAAAGCTGCTGACTCCAGAACCATGTCTTGCATTCTGCCTTTCTCCCCGCTTAACTTTGTTCCCTATGCAAAACCCATGAGAATGTGTTTGACCGATACTAAATCATGTCTGGAACCTAGCTCAAAGGAATCTGAGAAATACAGTTTCTAACTTTATAGCTTATATAGTCTAGGAAGATATAGTAGATGAAGATAGGAATACCACGTGTGAGTGAGCCAAATCCATAGTGTATGCAACTGCTCTTAGCTTCAGTTTACTCACCTGGGGGACCTGATGACCCGCTGGGTACAGGGGTGGAAGTGAGGAACTGGGAGAGGTAAATGGGTGGTCTGACACTCTAGTAATCCAATATAAAGTTGAGGGTGTCCTGGGCTCCCCTGGGAGTGCAATGGGCTTGGGCTGGACAGGCTGTAGGGAGAATGCTGGGTAGGTGGATGCAGCTGCAGCCACAGGAGAGCCACAGCGTGCAGCGTGTGTCTAGCACGAGCCTCCTAAGCCTCCACCTGGGTCACATAGTCTTTGTAACCCTAGGAAGCCTCTAGAAGTCACACAGAGGCCCATAGCAACTCTCCTGCCCTAGGGGGTGATTTCACCAGCTACTCCAGTGATGGGTCCCCCAGTGGCTCTGGGACCCAAGCAAAGATGATTCACAAGGTCCCTACCAAGCACAGGCCTTCACAGTTCAACAAGAGAATCCTACTATTGACTGGATTTTAAAAAATCAGTGGAGGAGATCACACTAGAAATGATAGATGCTGCAGGAAACAAAGCTTAAGTGAAAGCTTGTTATCATAATAAATGAACTCACACATATCACTGCTTTGCAGTTATAGCATCAGTCAAAAGGGCTGCAGAACATGAATCATTAACAAGTTGGAACATGGGAAAGAAGGCTGTGTGGCATGAAGAAGCTGCATTAGCGGCAAAGGCTAAGCCTAAATGATATTCTGAATGGCAGAGTTTTCGCCTGAATACCATCACCGTAATCAGTAACACCAAAAGTTAGGGAAAACAGAATTTTTTTTTAAGTTGAAATTATTTTAGCATGACAGTTTGTTCTCTTGCCACTGTGCATTCAATCATACCCTTGATATTTATTGTATGCCTGTTATGTGCCAGTAATAGTACTCTAAACTAGGGGTCACCAAACTACAGCCTATGGACCAAAGCTGGCCTGTTGCCTGCTTTTTTTATGTAAGACCTGATTGAAGCACAGCCATGCTCATTTGTTTAGGTATTGTCTAAAGTTGCTTTCATGCTACAGGCCTTCACAGTTCAACAAGAAATAGCAGAGTTGAGTAGTTGCCACAGAGATCAAACAGCCTGTAAAACCTAACACATATTTACTATGTGACGTTTTAGAGAAAAAGTTTGCTGGCCGTGCTGTAAGCTCTGGGCAGTCTACAGCTCTGTAAACGGAGATTCCAGTCCTCTCTGTGTCTCTTGTGAAGCAGTTTCTCTTCTCCCTCAACAAAGTGTTTAGTTTTGGAGGCCTCTAAATGAGGTTGTTGGCCCTGAGCCCAGTAAAATAAAGTCTAACTCATCCCCACCTAAATAAACATTTAGATTTTGTCCTTGACAGTTTGATACTGTTGGCAATAAAGCAAGTGCAAGAGGCACAAAAGCTAGCCAATCTGGTGATCAGCTGCAGTGCTGGCTCTTAGAAGGTACTCCTAAACACCTGTTGGTTTGAGTTGCGTTCATGATCTGGGTTTCCTGAGGTGATAGTCTTGCTGGACGGCGGCCGGCCAGATCACTGTTCTAAGTTCGGGGCTGTGTGTTTCTAGCTTGGGTGTGTATTCAGGAGCATAGGCAGGATGGAGAAAGATCTGGAAAGGGAAGCAGATGGAGCATAGCTACTGAGGGCACGTGTGATGCTTTATAACCATCATTGCAGATGTGAAGTAATTTGCTAAGAACTGGCAGAACTAGGATTTGAATTCAGCTTTGTCAACTCTAAAATCCATGTTCTGTGATGTGGAGTGATATACAGGGGATTCCTGTATCACATGAGTTTAGATCAGTTGACCCCCGGGGTTCTTCACAACTTACGCTTTCTTAGTTGTTACTGAGAGAAATGTTAGGCTTTCATACAGAAGGTTCTCTATGAGAACTGGGCCATGTATTTGTTAGTATAAGTGTAAAACAAATTTCACTGTCATACACAATGCCCTGTTTTGTAATCCAAACAGCCATTTTACCCAACAAAGATCTCACCTATGAGCCAGATACTGTGGCTTGCACCTGTAGAACTGTTGTGAAGATTATTGTAATTATATGTGGTGAAAGCATTTTGAGAATAGCAGTTACATAGATAATAGTTGGACATTTATGAATTTTTGCTTTAAAATTTAAATCTGTGGCTTGACATACTGGACATGCTTTTGATACTTTGTAAGTAAATCAGATTTTATGAATATAATCATGTTTAAAATCACTAGCAGGGTTGAAGGGGATTGTCTTTCAAGGAATGTTGCAGTCATTTGTCTGCTATTTCTCAGTATGAATAATGACCTCCTATTTTTCAAAGTTTACATTTTTGTGTAAGTCCATGAAAGTGCTGTTGCTGGAAATACACACTATTGTTTCAGGAACCATATCACCTTAGAAGTGTTCCATAATAGAGAATTGTTCTTTTGGAGTAAAATAGCTCATTTTAATCTGAAACAGAAGGGGCTTCATTTATCTGAGATAGAAAGAAATGTACTACGTTGCTTATGAGAATTCTTTACACACTAACCATTGAAGACCATGGGATTTTTTTTAGTTGAATTCTTTAAAATCTGCTTTTGCTTTGAAACTTTTAATGTCTCTAAGGGAGACATTCTCATTTGTAGTATGGGAACTGGTCTAGTAATTAAAGAGTAGAAATATGCATTTGCAATCCGTAGCCATCTAGGTGCAAGAATGAAGATGGTGTTTTAGAAGTCACCAAGACTGCATTTATTTGTATTTCCTAACATTCCTTTTTGCTCTACCAAGCTGCTAAGAGACATTAATTATAAATTTGATGTTTAGAGATTGTTAAGAGATTGAAATAATAAACTACATTTGATTTACACATCCAGAGTCTATTTGACTATCTTTAATAGTGATTTAAAAAATTAATTCAGCCTATTGTGTAAGCTTAAAAAGAATCACACTCTATGTAAGTATGTTTACACATAGTGACATCATATAGATTGTTAATCTATGTGTTCCTGGGAGGAACTGTTTGGCTGTGCCAGACAGCCTCTACAGAAAAATGGCCCAGTATATCTATTTTTTTTTTTTTTTTGAAGATGGTGTCTTGCCCTCTGTCACCCAGGCTGGAGTGCAGTGGCATGATCTTGGTTCACTACAACTTCCACCTCCTGGGTTCAAGCAATTCTCCTGCCTCAGCCACCCTAGTAGCTGGGACTACAGGTGCAGTTTGCCACGCCTGGCTAATTTTTTGTGTTTTAGTAGAGACGAGGTTTTACTGTGTTACCCAGGTTGGCTTCAAACTCCTGAGCTCAGGCAAACCGCCCACCTCAGCCTCCCAAAGTGCTGGGATTACAGGTGTGAGCCACCACAGCTGGCCGTATCTAGTTTTAAATTAGTCTTGGCCTCATCTCTATTTGATGTAAGTTAATAAATAAATGAAGAGAGTTTAATAGCAAATAAAAAAGGAGATGCAATATTATATGGTTAAAAAAATACTTTTGGAGTCAGAGCTGACTCTGTTTAGTTCATGTCCTGTTTTGTTGTTTATTCTATGACCTTAGGCAAACCACTTAAATTCTGATCTTTAGTTTCCTGTTCAGTGAAATAGGATTAATTGCAGTTCATATTGTGAGGATTAAGTGAGCTCAAGTAAGGAAACACCTAGCACAGTACAGTGCACATAGAATGTGCTTGGTGTACTTTTCTCATTAGAGTCCCTAATCTCCTGATGGATGTCTAGACTGAGGCTGCCTGAGAATTCTGAGCATAAGGAGATAAGAGGAAACACTGGGACAGAGAGGATTTTTCCAAAAGCTAACAAGATTCCATTTTTCTTTGTATAGAAGTTCAGAAGTCTTATGGCTGATTGTGTTGGATTGGGTTGCATCTTGTTCTGTGCGCCTCAGAACAACTGCTACAATTCTAGGGCAGTAACATAAAATAACACTTGGAATCAGTTAATGTACAGTCAGTCGGTCCGTATTCTGTATAATTGTCACAGAAGACAGAATCTTACTGGAGAGGAAACGCTTCTGAAGTACAATGCTTCAGAGTTGTCTCTTGTAAGAGAAAAATGAGAGAAGTGAAAGGAAGACACCAGCTGGCCACCAAACTCCCATTTCACAGTTGAGCTTAGCTAGTCCATGGTCTTGACTTTCATCGTGCTGGGTTTTCATGCTTTGGGTAGGCTCTCCAGGACCAACTCAAGCAACCCAAACTCATAAGAAGTGATATATGTCATACATTAATTCTTCAATCACTTTGAGACTAATTTGCTCTGTGCCTTTTTGTAGGCATTTCCTTCTTGATATCAAAGTCCCTAGGAGGCAGCATTAAACATCATGATGTTGCCCACTGAGCATGAGATGAGAGGAAGTGGCATAGTCCAATGGACAGTTTTGTCCAGGCTACTGTGAAACCTGATGTGTTATGCCAGCCCTGAAACAGACAGCTTCCCAAGTGACTCAAACCTTAAGGTTTCCCACAATTACCATTTCTATACAGAATTTAATATTGCTATTAAAAAGTACTGAGGCAGCTTTCTACGAATGCTGAGTTGGTTAGGTAGTACACACACACACACACACACACACACACACACACACACTCCTCCCCTAAAAAAGAAGAAAGCAAAGAAAACCAATACTTTCTGTAAATGCATGGCATATCTCAGGAAGAATTCAAAAGAAACTGAACTGGTAATAATATTTGCCTCTGGGAAGGTGTACAGGGTGGCAGGGCTACAGGGCACAGGTGTAGGAAGGGGGATTAATTTTTAATTGTATATCCTTTGAATTCTATACCTTAAGTATGTATTATTCAAAAAACTAAATGTTTTAAATCACCAGTAATCCCAGCACAGCTATTTTATTTGTGTATGACACTTTCTAATTCTCTCCCCTCCTCTCCTTTCCTCCCCTCCCCTCCCTTCCCTTCTTCTCCTCTCCCCTCCCCTCTTCTCCCCTCCCTCCCCTCTTCTTTTTTTTGAGACAGAGTCTCACTCCGTCTCAGGCTGGAGTGCAGTGGTGCGATCTTGGCTCACTGCAACCTCCACCTCCTGGGTTCAAGCGATTCTCCTGCCTCAGCCTCCCGAGTAATTGGGACTACAGGTACCCACCACCATGCTAATTTTTTGTATTTTTAGTAGAGATAGGGTTTCACCGTGTTACTTGGGTTGGTCTTGATCTCCTGACTTCATGATCTGCCCACCTCCACCTCCCAAAATGCTGGGATTACAAGCATGAGCCACTGCGCCCAGCCTCTGATTTCTTACTCAAGGCAGATATGTTTTCATAGGGTTACAATCATTGTGTCTATACTTACATCCAGTTAGGATGCTTTTCACAAGTTAACTTATAATGGCTATTTATTTCCTGCTATGATCTGAGAGTTTATATCTCCCCCAGATTCATATACTGAAATCCTAACCCCCAAGGTGATGTTATTAGGAAGTGAGGTCTTTGGGAGGTGATTAGGTCATGAGAGTAGAACCCTCATGAATGAGATTAATGCCCATATAAAAGAGGCCAAAGGGAGCTTGTTTATGACTTCACCATATGAAGGTGCATATAGAAGGTGCTACCTATGAGGAAATGGGCCCTAACTAGAAACCAAATCTGTAGGTGCCTTGTTATTGGACTTCCCAGCCTATATAACTGTGAGAAATAAATTTCGGTTGTTTATAAGCCACTCAGTCTATGATATTTTGTTATAGCAGCTAAATGACTAAGATAAATTTGCAGATCACCCGAAATTGGAGATACGGTATAATTAAGTGGCTTATTTATATAATTGAGGACCCAGTTTCTCTCTTTCTCTTTGGACTTTTCTTGTCTTCAGCATTGGCTTTATCTTAAGGTTTTTTCCCCTTAAAGTTGCAGTGTGCTGCCAACGGCAGTCAGGGCTATAAGCATCCTCATCCAGTCTAGCAAGAGATAGACAGACACACCAATTTGTTCTAAGCATGGAATATAAGTCCTTGCATCTAAACTGATAAGTTCAACTCAGGTCACATATCCAGGTGGATAAAGTGCACTAATTGGCCTAGTTCAATCAGATACTACCTGGAATTGAGTTTGTGGACATGTTCCTTTGAACAAAATCAGAGTTCAGTTAGTAATAAAGAAGTGGAGAATGGCTAACTGGACAGGTAACCAACAGTGTCTACCATAATACCTTTTTAAAAAATAATGGTTTTTCTTTTTCTGATACAAAAAAATACTTGTTCACATCTTAAAAACTTGGAAAAGAAAGCATAGTTGGGAGAAGGTACTAACGAGCATCCTATTACCGCTATCCAGAAAACCACCTCAATGTATTTTTCTCCTCTATATAGTTTTTACATAGTTGCGATCATACACCTTATTAACCATTTTGTATTTTAATGGCTATAAAATATTTACATAGGTCAGTCTCAGTGGCTGACGCCTGTAATCCCAGCACTTTGGGAGGCTGAGGCAGGCAGATCACGAGGTCAGGAGTTTGACGACAGCCTCACCAACGTGGTTAAACCCTGTCTCTACCAAAAATACAAAAATTAGCCGGGCATGGTGGTGTGTGCCTGTAATCCCAGCTACTTGGGAGGCTGAGGCAGGAGAATAGCTTGAACCTGGAACACAGAGGTTGCAGTAAGCCGAGATTGAGCCGCTGCCCTTCAGCCTGGGTGACAGAGCAAGATTCTGTCTCAAGAGAAAAAAAATTACTGGATTGGATGTACTGTAATTTATTCAACAGTTCTTTCACCATTAATAAGTAGTTACTGAGTTTTTACTGTAATAGTCCCCATAACAATGAGTATTATGGGGCATAAAGCATTTCATTTTTGTTGAATGTTTCTCTTAGTATTACTTTTCCGCATAAAGCTATCAGTCAAACTATTTTACCACAGATATGGCTTTATAACAGTATGGTTTTGCTTTCCAAAAGGGTTACATCAGCTTAAACTACTATCAAAGTGTGAGTGAACCAATTTTATTATAACCACTCCAGCATTCAGTGTTGTCATTTAAAAATTTATGACCAGGCCGGGCGCGGTGGCTCAAGCCTGTAATCCCAGCAC